GTGCAAGATTATGCCAAAATTTCATGTTTTCCGTCCCGTTTTTGCTCATTTCTCGCATTCATTGGTCATCAGGCCATTTCGAATCGAGTTATTCGCATGAATAATGGAAACGCATTGTGCAAAATCCTAAATAAAACGTTCGTAATGTGCAACTTTTGCACCTAGCCAAAGTATACAGTAGAAATTTTAAGAATCCTCCTAAGTGGCATGTCCACAAGCAGGCAATTACGCCATCGCATTTCCAAACAATCGGAAACCCACACGGTAAATAAAACGTCCAAACTGCGCGTTTCCCCGTTTAGCATCTACGATTGCCAATCAGAAAAATGTCCTCTTTGTCTATGCAGAATGGAACAGTCTCTTGACCGCAACAACGAATTACCCGGCAATTTCCTATCGGAGATATACAAATGGGCGCTGGAATGTAAGTTTCCTTCAACTGGAACCGAGCAAAAGACTAAATTCATATCCCGTTTACAGCCGTGGCTCGAGTCTCTTTGAACACCAGACTGGGCTGTCTGGAGCCGCACTTGCCAAACGAATCCGAATCCCAAAGAATCATCGATTCGATCAACACATTCTTCTGGAACGTGGCCGAAGTGGAGCTGAAGTTTCCAGTTTGGCGCATCTACCAGAATAAATCCTTCCGAAACTACATCGGAGCTTTGGAGGACTTCAGAACGTAAGTTGGCTCGGCCGTTTCGCCCACCAGATCTGAACCCATTAAAACCGATAACGCAACGATTTGACCGACTTTCGGCTTGATTGGCCAAGTGAAAGTCGACATTGACATTGGCTCATCCATTATATAAGCGGCAAAGGTGAAAGGTGTTTGAACCATCCGAATTGCTTCACTGTGATCTTTGTCTTGCCAAACAATGCGTGTTTCTCTACACAGGCTGTGCCTCAAATATATTACGCAAACAATGGAAAGCATGGAGCTTAGGAACTATGACAATGTAAAAGAAGAGGACGTTTCCATAGTGGAGCGCATACTGATGAAGACGCACAATCCGAAACTGGCTGCTGTGCTTGCGCTGGATCTGCTTCTAGTGGGCGTGGACACTGTATGCAATTGATCATTCAGCGAATGCAAAAACTCTAGCTAGTTTTTTCCAGACTTCCATAGCGTTGGCTTCGACCATTTACCARCTGAGCCAAAATGCCGAAAAACAGCAGGTTCTCTTCGAAGAGCTGCAAAAAGCCCTCCCCGGTCAAGACTCCAAAGTGGACGTTGCGGCGCAAGARAAAATGCCCTATTTRAAAGCCTGCATCAAGGAAACATTGAGGTGATCAAAACAACAAGTCCCCAAACTCCATCACTAAATTCTGAATTTTAGGATGTATCCAGTGATTATTGGAAATGGAAGAAATCTTCAATCGGACACGGTTTTAGCAGGGTACCAAGTGCCCAAAGGGGTAAGAACTGTCGCATTTGCGGCCCACAACAAACTCAATATCCGCGTCTTCCAATCTGCAGACTCATGTGATATTCCCGCACTTGGTGGTGAGTAATGTGGAGGAATACTTYGATCAACCCGAGAAATTTATGCCGGAAAGATGGCTGAAGAAAGACGCAAAATCCGCCCAATGCCCTGCACATAACCAAACGAAAATCCATCCCTTYGTATCGTTGCCCTTTGGATATGGACGAAGATCCTGCTTGGGCCGACGATTTGCTGAGACCGAACTCAATATCATGCTGGCCAAGGTAGGGGGCAATTTTCCACGTGTTTTCTCAAGGCGCATACAAACTGGCTTTCCAGATTTTCAGAAAATACCAAGTGAACTACAATTATGGGCCGTTGACCTACAAAATCACCCCCACTTATGTACCTGAACAGCCCCTTAAATTCAAGCTCACTCAACGAAATAGTTAAGTTTTTGTAGATTTGTACAATTTTACGTTTGATATTTAATAAATTTTAACTAGTTTAATACAAAACGTGTTTATTCGTACTAGGGGCAGGACCTTTCCACTGGTCACCAAAGGACCATTTTTCACCTTATTAGAAGAAATTTACCAAATTAGAAAAATTATCGTCGTTTTGTGCACGGGTGGGGCAAGATTATTGCAAAATTTCATGTTTTCCGTCCCGTTCTGCATGTTTCTCGGAAGCAAAATGAGCAAGAACGCTCGTTTTTACATCATTCCAGAGATAACTAAATGGCCTTTATTCCAAGTTTCTCAAGAACC